CGCGCCCTTGGCCTGAGTTCAAGTCATGGGGGTCCAAAAATTGGTCGAAAAAAGTCCTTTAATTATATTAACAGGTGGTTGGCCTCCGCAACGTCCAGCTTTTGAATCATTCTCTTAGGCTGCTATTAATATCATTTGTATTATTTTCATACTCTAAACACTTTAGTATATTTAGTTATAAAAGGCTAATATCATTTATATTTAAAGTTTATATTATTTTTCAGTCATATTTTGCCATAAAAAAATATTTCTTATTTGTATTTTAATTTTATGTATTTGTAGGATTTTTAATTAAAAAATAAAGTATCATAGGAGCAATGCGTTATTATTCTCTCTCTTTTTATGATACATAAAATTTCTTTTTTATAGGTTGGACAATAAGGATACTAATATTTTATTAACCATATTTTAAGAACAAATTTTTCTTAATTATTTTAATGACATACTTATATAACAAGTATATTAGCATTTAAAAGAATTGTCTTTGACTTTGACCCTTGAGCATATTAGGAAAATCTACAGTACTTTCTTGTAAAATTTTCCTTTAAATTTTTTACACAAAGCAGACAGTGCATTATGCATATTTTTAGTCCAATTAATAAAGATGATAAGAACTTTCTACATCCAAAAACCAAAAAAAAAAAAGAAAAAGAAGGTAGTATGAACTTTGTTCATGGATAAGAAATACGGCAAATAGGAAGCAGATTTATAAAGGTACTAAATTTATTTCATACTCTGTATCAAACAATCAAAGGGCAAAATATCCATGTGGAATTCAAGAAAATAAAAAAAAAAATTATAATAGTTGAAGTCTCGAAAATTAGTGCAGGTTTTCACAGCAGAACTGGTTTTGTTCTCTATCCATCTTCTCTTTAAGCTGTGTCACCTGTTGACTATCATAATTTATTTGCTTTCTATGGTTCTCAACTGTCTCTAGATATGATGCCAACTCATACTTCAACATCAACTTCCTTGGTTAATCTCACAGATTCACAAAAGAAGGCTACAAGAGAGAATCCATTGCACACACGGGGGAGGTGACCTTAGTAAGCAAGACATTTAAAAGAAGTTAAAATAAATATTTTGCATTCTTGATTGAAGCATTACCAACCACAAAAAGTTAAATTAAACATTTTGTATTCTTAACTGAAGCATAATCAACCACAACTGTTAGTCAAACATTCAACAAGAAATATGAGGTGGTGGAGAGAAATAGATAGAGAGTTTACACCTTGATTGTGCTGGTTAAAAATATCCAAATCTTCCTTTAGAGCCAGGTAGTTGTAGAGTTGGCACTTCCCACCTGGATATAATGGAGCTCTAGAACAATCCTAAGAAACTCTTTCCTTTTGTTTTTTTCCTCTTTGATCTTTCAAAACAAAGCATTACCTTCTTTCCTCAAAGCAGAAGCCAATTCCCACCGGCTAAAATTCGCAACAGCAGCAATTGTCAGAGGAATACTGTTACCGATTCTCTCTAATAAACTAATAGCAATAGTCTTGATGAACAGACATTGTTTACGAATTCTTTTTGTGTTTTTGCTTTTCTCTGCAAATACTAATGTTAGTTGGGATTCTTTAACCTTAAGAATCTGATTTCAGAATTCAAGCACTGTATATTATAAGGAAAACAGGGAGGGGAAGAGAAGGAATATACCTCCATTTGCCAAAAAACCTATATTAAACAGACATAATGGTAAAGGAAATGATGCCAAAACTGGACATCACGGCGGCAACCAGGTGTGTTGGCCTCTCATATCTCTTTTGGGCTAGCTTCGCCGCTACATGTGTGGGTATTTAGATCTGGGTGTCCTTAATGTCATTTGATCCCACCTCTTCTATGATGGTTTTATTCAGGGATCTTGTTTCTTTTACTCCAACTTCAAAGAAACTGTGAATTTGGATTTCTTCTGAGTTCCGATCATCCAATGGTAATGAAGTGAAGGAGAAAATAGTGGTGGTTGGAGATGTGGAGTGAAGAGTGGATGAACGAAAGGGTTTGGCTGTTAGGCTAGAAAATAGGGCTGTCGCCATGGAAGCAGATGCAGAGAGTGGTGATGGTGCTGATGGCCTACCTAAACCCTTTGCCCTGGTAGGCTGCTACTGGAAGGCAGTGCTGTAGATTTTCTCTAATGGAGCAATCGTGGGGTGGTTTCTTCTTGTTTAGCAAATGGTGCTCACCATCAACATGACTTAAGGACTGCTGCTTTGGGCCAGCCAAGTCCATTAAGGCTATCTTAGAAGCACTATTAATAATAAGGATTGATTTGATTTTTTTTTTTTTTTTGCGCATTAATTTTAAATGCAAAAATAACAAAACCGTGTGAATGACAAATTAATATCTAAAATGTTAAAAATTCAAACTATGACGATCAAAACAAAGTTGAATTGAGTAATAGTAAGTTGATGAAATATCAACACATCATTAAAATTTGTTTTAGACTATACAAAGATATACAACCATTTTTTTTGTCTTTTTACCCAATTTTAATGCATGACTTTGACTCAAATTCATGGTCTCAATCATTAACACATCATAAAAGTATTCATATCCTATGTAGCTACAAGAAACTCCTCACTAAAAGGCAGCACATCACTAAAGAAAATGCATACTATATCATGGAATAAGTATCAAATCATTAATATGGACCCACCAAAATACGGCAGGGACCCAACTCGAACAAACGTATCTTAATGATGGACTTCGGCCATCACTTAGGGGCCCTTCTTCTTCTTTCTTCAATTCTTCTCAGCTCAACAAGGGGGATTGGGGAATTGAAGTGGACCAAAACCTTCAGCCTTAATTTGTTGTGCACCCAGTATTTGAGGGTGGAGAGATTTTAAGCTCTTCTTCTTTTTCTTCCTTTTTTTTTTTTTTCTAAATGGAAATTGAGCGCATACTTTACCAATTGGATAACGAGCTTAGCTGCTCAAGTAGTAAGACTATGAATGGTTAAAAAAAAACATGAGAGAGAGAGGTAGAGAGAGAGAGAGAGGGGTTCACGGCGGACAACGGTCACGGGCATCAGGGACGTCGCTGAGCTGGGAGCGTGTAGGATTCCGCAGAAGAGGCCAACAACAGAAAGCAGTGGAGAGACGGACTCATGGGCAAATGGAACGAAGTCCGGGTAGGAGGAAGCAAAAAGAAGGTCCGGCTGATGGGGGTCTCTACAAACAAGCCACCCCATATTTCTTCACAAACTTCCCGGAGTGCTGGACTTATGCCGATATGTGGAGAACTTTCTTGCATTATGGGAGGGTGTATGATATTTACAGCCCGAATAGGAGAAGCAGAAATGGAAGCAGATTTGGGTTCGTGAGGTTTTTAGATGTAAAAGACAGAAAGGAGCTGGAACGGCAATTGGATCAAATCTGGGTCAATGACATGAAACTATGGGTCAACAGTCCAAGATATGACGTTGTAAAGTCTAGCAGCAAGGAGGAAAGGTCTAGCGGGGAAGGGACCTCTCAGAGGCAAATTCCTAATTGTGTAGAGGCCAGAGAAGGAAAATACAGTGGAGGAAGGATGCCTCAAGTTCAAAACAGAAGTTATGCTGAGGTAGTGAAAGGAAATCAGAAGGAAA